ACGCCAATTATGTGGCTTACTGGGGTGGTGGTTCCCGTGCATAAGAAAGGGGACCACCAAAGGTGTGCTCCAGCTATAGAGGAATTGCACTCCTCAGCCATATATGTGTATGTGTGTATATCTGCTAGTATCAGTCTATCGCTTGTAGGAGGAGTCTCAACCATCCACTCACTGGAAGATGGTGGTGGAAGTACCATGTTGGTAAGCTTTTGAGCAATAAATTTAAACCTTCAAACAAGAAAACTTGGCTTAAACAGAAAGAATAGAAAATGGTTTAAATGTAAGCATATTTATCTTTTAGAATAGACCAACATCCAGAGATAAACCAAAGTTAGAATTTCCACCCATCTTGTGTGACTAAGCAATAGCAATGAAACTCTGTGAACAGGAATTTTCCACTTTCTGACTATTTCTAATATCCCACTGATTCTTAATTGGTGAACAATTTAAAAATAATCTGTAGGACTTCAGTAGCTTTGTGTGTTCTAAGTTGGGTTAATTGTTATTGCATTTCCACAATACCAAGAGGCAAATGCATTCAATCAGGGAATTGTCTTTTCCCCAGTGCTTCAGCTACGAGGTTTAAGACAAATTAAGTGATTATAATAAGTTACTATTTGCTAAGAAAACACTGGTTGTTTTTCCTTCTTACTGTAAAAATGACATATTCATCTTTTATATTCAGCATAGTACTTGAGTGAAAACCATACTAGGGACCCCCCATTCATCATATTAAGATGCAGCTCTTTTATTTGTTTTATTCTTTTGCTTTAAATGTTGGGATAAATCTATTTTTACTGCAAATTTTTTTTTCGAAATTTGCATCTCATCCTAAGGGGCATTAGATGCTTCCCTCTGAAGATTATTTAAAGTTCAGTCTATCTTTGAGCCTATCAGAACAATCAATAAGAAGTGTTTTTCTCAGGGCATGCATGAAGGTCACTGGTTCTGTCTCTGAAACAGCCATCTGAGCCGTTAGAGGCCGAGGTGAGTGACAAGCCTCCCCAAGCCCTAAATGAGATGAAAAAAGATGACTTGAAAATAGGGCTCGTCATTGAGCCAAATTAGATCTGCAGTCAGAGATGGACCATTTGTGCAACAGCTGCCCAGCTCTCCCTTCAAAGGACAATTTGTAGAAGTGGAGGACTTATTTAGCATGCGGCATGCGTGCAGGAAATCAGAATGTCGAGAGGCACGCGTCTCCTGCAATCACATGGTAGGTTAATGCTTGTGCATTTTTAATGTCCGTCATGAAAAAAATAAAATGAAATGAAAAACCGTTGGTGTGACTTGATTTAGCTACAGGCTGTTACAGGCTGGTGTGCACCCAAAGATGAGATATCCTTTGGTCTTCAGCAAACACTGCAAAATTGCAGCTCAGCACAATGTTGTTGTTATCATTAGTCGATGCAGCATCCAATCAGAGTGGGTGATTACAATAAAAGGAGAATTGTTTGTGTCTCTGTGTAAAATCACTGGAGCGTCTCAACAGCTCCGGTATTCTGTAGTCAATACTTTCCTACAGGGGTGGCTGGGGTTGTTTATATGCTGTTTATACATAGAATTTAATAACCTGGATTCCCAGGATGTTTATAAATCCTATTTGCTGTTATGTATTTTAATATCATGTTATAATTCTTTTCTTTTTAAGTTTCTAATAATGTTTTAACTTCAGGTTTATTTTAGCTGTTGGCACCTAACAGGGGTACAAAAGAAATCATTTTTGGCTGCATTTTTGTCCATTGATCCTTTATGTGTATTATTAAAAAGGTTCAGCAAAGCACAGTGTTCCTCTGCAGCAGATAAATAAGATGCTAAACTAATTTTGCTGACTTACATTGCCATCTATATAACCATTTTTCATTATCACTGTTTCTCAATTGCAATTTTACAACATGTTTATATAATGCTTTACCATTTAGTTCAGTACACAGTTTTGAAAGTAAGTCTCATCTTTTCTCATTTCTGATCCTTCTATGAGTTCTCATCCCAAATGATGTCTTTTTGATCCTATAAAACCATCTTATTTTCTTCCCTCATCTCACCCTCTCTACTATTCTCTCTTCAGTTTTAGATTATTGATTCTCTTTTTTGTTTACTAATACAAACTGTAAAACTCTTCCTCTAGTTGAATTGATTGATGCAACCCTTAAGTGCATAGCACCAGGGGTGAAGAGTACAACTATGACAATGTAAATAATATTTTAACAACAAATGTAAATAATATTCGACTTACCGTAATTCATTAATCAATTAGGCTTTTACTTTAGTTGTTTGTTATCTAAAACTATTTGATCTGTTGAAGAATTTTTTTTTCTACTTACATAAAAGTAACTAAGGGCTGGGCTATATAAAGAAAATCTAATATCGCAATGTATTTTGGCTATATATCGCGATACACGATATAGCCTTTAACAAGATCCCTGCAACCAAACTTAGAAACACTAAAATACTAAATAAAATGCAAAAAAAAAAAGGCCGGTTTGGGCAAAATTAAAAAAAAAAAAAAAAAAAAAAAAAATACCTCAAATTACAATCTTTCTGTGCTGGGAATTTTAAAGAAGCACAAAAAGTTGTGAAATTGAGAACATTGCCGAGTTTAGAGAGTGCCTGCAAAATCCCTGAACAAGACCATCACAACACAGGTATTAGAGCATCCAAAAATATTTAAATATTGTAATAAATAACGTCTGTGATTTCCCTCCATCTCTTAGTTTTTCTCTCATATGGGATCGCTTTTTCAAACGACGACGCAAACATCATCTGCTTCACAGCTGATTTATATAATGTCTTATTTGGTTTGCAGGGAGACGCTGATATGCAGAGTTTACAACATTCTTCATTTTGCAGTGGATGACTTTTTAGCTGGTGGAATAAATATAAACCTTTTGCAGCAATGGTTTTGTGGCACGTCTTACAAATTACCGCCTTTTGTTCGACGTCCTCGCGCGTGAAATCCAAACCACTGCCATATATTGCTCAGCATAAAAACCTACTATCGCCATATTTCGTTTGCCGTGTGTCGTTTGCAGTGTGCGTGCCGCACAGAAAACAATCCTGTTTGGTGGAGGAGTTTATGATGCTTTCAGAGTGTGTGGTAAAAATAACGCTCTCAGTGAAATATGTGGTGACAGCTTAATGTCGTGATGCAAATTTGTACTCGATGGTGGCGATAGTCATTTTAACTATCGTGCATGGCAAAACTGGAGATACATCGAGCATATTCAATATATCGCCAACCCAATAAGTAACTCAAAGTTACATTTACATTTTGCTTGGGTATTTGTCCCGTGACATTTGAAACATCAGGATTTGTTTTTGTTGTTTTTATTAAGTTGAACAAATTCTAGAGATCCGTCTAGGTTACAAAAAATGATATGCATGATTTTTTTTATATTTTCGTGAACATTTTAATTTAGCTAATAACGTGTGGTGAAAACTTGAAGTGCAATGCACTATTTTCTCTAATGTAGTCTCAGGTACAGCAACTGATTATAGATTGTAGGGCAGACATGTGTATAATTGTACAAATAAAGCAATATGAACGAATAGAACCAATGCACACAGTTCAAGATAAAGGTGACCCAAATAGTGGCAATGATATTTTAAGAGAGTGTGAGTCATATAATCAGAAAACCAAGCGTGAGAGTAAGAGTGTGAAACAACTTCTTTGGCACTCAGTGGGCAGTGCACAACTATGGATGGCTGTGGGAGGAATGTGTAGAAGGAGCATACTAGGCTGTGTGTGGAAATCTGCTATTCTGGCTCTTGGAGAAAGCCTGTCAATGTTTACAGCAACAGACTGAAAGGTTAATGTAAAGAAAATGATCTGACTAATTGTAGCTGCTGCTTAGACTTTGGTTTTGTTCCAAAAATGTTGGAAGATTTTCTTTGCTTTTTTATAACTTCAAGTCATAATAGAAAAGAAAAACAACAAAATTATTACTACTTATTATAAGTTTGTATGTCATTAATGAAGCATTTACAATGGCTGAGGATACTTTTATTAGTTTACTTTTATTGTTTACCCTTTCATTTCTACTAGTTCTGTCTTTGGTGTTTTTGCTTATCCTTTGGTTATGTACACTTCCAACTGATTTACACAATTGCCGTACTAGCAACAATAAATGCATTCTGGCATATAAATTGAACTTTACTGATCTCACATTGGAGAAATTTACCTCTGCATTTAACCCATTCCCTTGGGGAGCCGTGGGCTACCATCGTGGGGTGCCTAGGGAACAGTGTGGGGTTCAGGGTCTTGCTCAGGGACCCAGAGTGGCGGTCTGTGGTAGTGGGGCTTGAACTCAGAACCTCTGGATTTCAAGCTGTATCCCCTAACCACTAGGCCGCCACTCCTATTTTGGTTTTACACAAAGATGACAGTAGCATGTACAGCTTAAAAGCTATAGAACACTCTGCTCCACATTCTGAACCTTTGCATTAAATCATGTAATAATCACCTTGTTTTTAACTTATTAGGGTGGGCACCAGTATATGATATTTCCAAACGTTGTACTCAGCCACAGCTCAAAATGTTTAACAAAACCCCAGGGTTTAAAGGTTCACAGCTTATGACATGTATTCTACAACCCCTTAGAGACATAGCACTGGTCGGACTTATTTATCCAGAACCAGAGTGAGAGAAGGAGAAGAAATCCCATGTTTGCATGTCTGCAACATGCAAGGTTGAGGTCAATTGATTCATAACTCTGCTTCACCTCAAACTGAGATGGCCAAATGAATTTTAAATTGCTTAATTTTCATCAGACCATATGATTCCAAATCGGTAGGAGGGTTTGAGAGGCTAACCCCTTGGTCATAGGATAAAACACAGGATGCATGATAAAAATGAAACTCAGCCCTACCCAAAAAGGGCCCAAAAAAATCATACAGTGTATACCCGCACTTATTACATCCTTTTATACCAATTCAAGTGCCCTTAAACACAGAAGAATGACTGATATTAATCTGTTTCTTCTCTTCTGCTTCTCTTTTAGTTTATTGCCTTTGCATCTTTGTTCTTCATCCTGGTCTCCATCACCACATTCTGCTTGGAGACCCATGAGGCTTTCAACAAAATCATCAACAAGACTGACGTATGGAACGGCAGCGAGCCCGACCCAATTCCACAGTACGAGATTGAAACTGATCCTGCGCTCACGTATGTGGAGGGCGTTTGTGTGTTCTGGTTCACCATCGAGTTTCTCGTTCGTGTGACCTTCTGCCCTGTAAAGTTGGAGTTTGTCAAGAGTGTTCTCAACATCATTGACTTTGTGGCTATTCTGCCCTTTTACCTGGAGGTAGGGCTGAGTGGCCTTTCTTCAAAGGCCGCCAAAGATGTGTTGGGTTTTCTCAGGGTCGTGCGCTTTGTTCGTATTCTGCGCATCTTCAAGCTAACACGCCATTTTGTAGGGCTAAGGGTGCTGGGCCATACATTGCGAGCCAGCACTAATGAATTCCTGCTGCTAATCATCTTCCTGGCCTTGGGAGTGTTGATTTTTGCCACCATGATATATTATGCTGAAAGAATTGGTGCCAAGCCCAATGACCCCACGGCCACCAACCACACCAAGTTCAAGAACATCCCCATTGGCTTCTGGTGGGCAGTGGTGACCATGACTACTTTAGGCTATGGAGATATGTATCCAGAGACCTGGTCAGGCATGGTGGTGGGAGCGTTGTGTGCTTTAGCTGGTGTACTGACGATAGCCATGCCTGTGCCGGTTATCGTCAATAACTTTGGGATGTACTACTCTTTGGCCATGGCAAAGCAGAAGCTGCCCAAGAAAAGGAAGAAACACATCCCTCAGGCAGTACAAGGAAGTTCTCCAACGTACTGTAAAGGTGACCTCAACACGACTTGCAACAGCACTCAAGGTGACATGTGCCATGTCAAAGGGGGTAGATTACTAGAACGCAATCGTTCAGGTAAGACAGCAACGGAAGGCCAAATAATCAAAATATGTATTTACATCACCATTCTGCTTTTATTATCCACTCAAAATGGTTTAGACTACAAAGCACAAAAACCTCTACAAACATAATCCTGCAAATCTGAGGCACTGCACTCTTTTATGTTTTCCCTCGTTGAAAAAAATAGGTTTATAATGAATTAATCAAAGTTGGGTAGTAGAGATTGGTTGTGGTTGTCGCATATCTAATCATATCTAAACCAGCAAAGGGCACTGCAATTTTTGGATAGAAATTTTAAAAAAGCTAGATCAAAGGTCACTGGTTTTAAATGTTTCAGTCCAACATTTCTTTAACAGTTCTGTGGGCTGGCTCAGAATCTGACAACCAACAACAATCTCTCCTGCCAAATCAGTGTCTTAATAAGCCAAAGATATGCCTGTGTCTATCTCAGTTAAGAAAATGTAACTCTTTGGTGTATTCTTCCATCCCTTTCTAAACATTTCCACGTCTTATCTCAATTCAATCAAAAGGTTCTATATATTTCATTGGGATTATACATGCAACTGATTCCAATACACAACAAGTCCACTTGGCTAGAACTTGTAAAATAAAGCTTAAATAAATGAAAAAAACGAATGATAAAATTGGGGACCTGAGAAAAAAATGCTATTTAGTTTTGTTTAAAACAAAAAAAAATTGGAAAGTATGATTTGCATCTGTACTCAGGCTCCCTGGGTTGCGATTACAGATTTAAGTCTTTTGGGCTAATATATCACCACCTTTGCAGATCTAGAGACTGATTTATTGCTCACTATTCTTTGCATATTCAATCAAGCTCAGTCAGACAGTATAGAGAGCAAATGGGAGCAGCATATTTCGCATCCTGCCACAGATTCTAAAATAGATTTTAATTGATCTGGGCTCTTCTAATGCATCAATATACCTAATCTTTGTAATTCTATTGCAGCTGTTACTGTATGTTTAAGAACTTTTGCCTGCTGTAAGATGAGCCTCCACACAAGTCTGATGTCAAGCCTGCCATCATGAACTTGCTGTTAGGGTTCGTAAAGTGAAATGCTTTGCTTAAATATCGGATACTAAATTGCTAGGACTCTTGGCTGCTATACTTACTCTCTTTTCATTATTGGATGATGAACTAAGCAGACCTTGGTTAATTTTTCATAACCTGACTGCTATATAATGTAATCAAAAACTTGTAGATTTTTGTTTTGTTCCTCTGTCTTTATGCTGTGGTTCTCCAAAGCATAGTCATACTGAAAACAACAAATTATGTTTTCTTGTTGTTTCATGAATGCAACTGGACAGACTGGATTTCATTTTGGAATATGAGAGTAAAATAGGCTAATTTCAAACCCACAACACACTCTTTTTGTATTTTTATTCATAAACCATTTTAAAACATCTTACACTTATTATTCTACCTCTTTGTATGGGACAATCAAATTAAATTCATACAAAATACATACAGTTCTGCGACTTTAAAGGGAGAAAATGTGGAAGTGAATGGAGTTTTAGAGCTAACTGTATAAAGTCCTTATGACCCAAACAAGCAATGATATTATCTTCACAGCGTTTATTTCCCCCCATCCAGCCTCCAGCAGTGTTGCCACAGTGACAAAGGGGGCAATGAGAAGGATGATGAAAAAAGTGTGAACCAGCTCAAGCTCATCAGAATTCAGGGAAATCACTTTCAAGTCTTTCACCCAGTAGGGTTTGTTCAATTGTTGTTTAGACTGTAGATTGCTGTTTTTTCCCTCCAGGTCCATGTTGGTAATATACTCTGACACATCTGATATTGATGGAAATTAGCCCTGACCTTTCTGTACTTAGTTGATTTAAATTCCTGGAAGGAGATCCCTAAGGGGAAGCATGCACTCTGGACTTTTTACAGTCTGTTTATAAGATTTCACAACCTGGTGTTTGATAAGAAAAGTTTAATTTATGCTTAGACTGAATGCACAAGTAGACTCAGTGGGCCTCAGCTGTTAATCATTTGCTTGGAGGACATTTAGGGTACAAAACCTCTACTAGTTATTTTCTAAATTTCTGTTTTCATCGAAAGCTTTTTAACTGGATTCAAAAGGACAGTTTGGATCAAAAATATATTGACGTTTTACCCCTAAGTTAGGGGTAAAATGTAGATATGTAAACAGAATATTCAAAATAGTTAGTAACTATTTTGAATATTCTGTTTACATATCTATATTACAAATAGTTTCAACTACATTGAAATCCAGAAGCATTTTATAAGAGCTGAAGCAGGTAAAAATGTGTGAAACACAACTTCACATGAAGACAGAATAGTTGGTTCCCTGTTTTTAATGAAAGAAACCCCCACAATGCTCACACATTAACTTGAATCTGACTAAATTAATAACAAACAAACATTCTGTCGTCATACACACTCCACTTTGTTTAAAAAAAATATATAAATGTAAAAAACATAACCGCAGATGTCTGGGGGACAGTGATTCGCCTACATGTTATGAATGCTGGCGTACCATAAATGATAAATTGTGAACAGTTTAGTTTGTGCCTTCAACTCGTTGCCCATAGGAAGACTTTACTTGGATATAACCTAACGGAATATCTTCAGAACAGCTCCAAATGACACAAAACTAATATTGGTGAGTAGAACATGATGTAATAACGTAAAATCAAGGGCCCAATGTAAAAAAAAAACAAAAAAAAAACGGTGTTCCCCTTTAAGCAGAATGACCCAAAAAAATATCTTATTAAAGAGGCCTAAACAAAAATGACTGTAACCTTAGAAAACAATGGAAATAATGTGACCAAAAAGGACATGTTTAATTAAGGTATGCCCACTAATTAGTATAACAGGTGCAATCTTGAAAATCAGTCAGTGGGCCTATATATAGGGCTACAGGTAAATGCTGTGCATTTTTTTTAATCCAGTACATGAATTTTTAGATTTCCTTATACTATTTAAATGTTTAATAGCAGTATGCACATAAACCTAAAAATACTACATAAACTTTACTCTAGAAATGTAGCGTTTTGAAATGCATGCACAACGCATGCGCACTCTAGCTCACAGCAGGACTAATTCTGCTCCGAGTCCAGATGTTACAGGATCACACAGAGCAACAAGTAGTCCCAATGACTATACTGCAAAAGCCTGCTCACTGCTCATGGGACTGATTTATGCCATGAACTTGGCATAATCTCCCATTTTGCACTACACTTTAAAGACCTTCCAAAATCTTTTCCTGGAGTTGGATGGATTTAAACTGTCCCGAAAAGTAAACACCCTGAAGCTGAAGTTGCTTTCCTAAATGCATTCATGACTTTGTCATCTTAGGGCAGGAACATGTGGCATAGAATTCCAAGAATTAGCAGTGGGTTCCAGTTAATCTTAGTGGAAGGTTGCCTGTCATTAATGTTTTTATTTTGTGCCAAATAAGGTATATGTTATTTCATAAAAAGAAGCAAATACCTTAATCAATTATCTAGTAGATATTTTATTCTGCATTGGGAATGATTAGACAGTTTAAGCATTTAATTTTTAATTTTGTTTCACTAATGTTGTAGTTGTATTCTTAAAAGTCCACTAGTCTGGACGACTAAATATGGAAATTGGACTGTTTCAGTGTGTAGGTTTGTAAGGTTTTTATCTCATATTTAATTAGTGACTATATTACCAGATCTGGGTTGGATGTGATGTATATGAAATACTGTGTATTTGTTGTTTATAAGTTATACTAACCTTTTTTTTTTTTTTTTGGTACAAATTCTAATGCAGTACAACATAATTGACTTTTACTATTGATGCGATATTTGTACATGTTTTTTTCATTTAAATAGAGGCATACATAATCTTTACACCACTGCTTAAAGTTTAAGTGGCTGTTTCTGTTCTGACTCTCACCCAGAAGTTGTTTTGAGCAAGATTGTGTCAGTTAAATATTCTTGATCTTACATGTGAGTATATTTTTGTAACGACTGTTGAACTTCTCAGTTTCAGAGGGTTTTAAATTTTTTATTGCATATTTGAAAAGTATGAGGGCAGTTACAGGGCTGCTCAGTGGAGCAGTACTGTAAGTAGCACTGCCACCTTGCAGCACGAAGGTTCCAAATTTGATTCCCGGCCTGTGGTCTTTTTGCATGAAGTTTGCATGTTCTCCCTTTGCATGCGTGGGTTCTCTCCGGGTACTTCAGCTTCCTCCCACAGTCCAAAAACAGGACTGTTAGGTTAATTGGTTTCTCTAAATTCTCCTTAGGTGTGAGGGTGTGCGTGAATGGTGTTTTTGTCTCTGTGTTGCCTTAAAGTTTTCAGTAGAATGCTGCTTGTGCCTATGAAAAAAAAAATTACACTTTAATTAATTTCTCTGAATAAATCTAACTTACAACTTGGATGTAATTAAGTAAATGTTAAATAATATCTTCACAACTGTTGTCTTATTTGAAAGAAAATGTGCTTGATACTGGCAAGTGAGTGTTACTTGATATTGCTGCACTCAATTTTACTTAAATTGAATGCTTATATTTTTTACATAAATATTATGAGTTTTTTCAGTGTAATATGTGTTTGCCCCCTGCCTAATTTCCTTCATTTCTTTGCATGTTTGTCACACTAAAGAATTGAAGATTCGTCAAACAAATGCAGTTTTTGTATGAAGATTTTTATTATTAAGGTAAAGAAAATCCAAACCTGCATGGCCCTATGTAGAAAAAGGGATTGGCTCCCTTTTAAGCAGAGGTGTCAAAAGTATTAATGTGTATTACTCAAGTAGAAATACATATTATACTGATGTTCCCCAAGAGTTTCAGAAAAAAAAAATCTGTTGACAAAAGTTGATCTTTTTGGAAGTTGTGTGTCCCATCACATCTGGTGTAAAAATTCATCATACCAACAGTCAAATATAGTGGTGGTAGTGTGATGGTCTGGGGCTGTTTTTCTGCTTTAGAACAAAAAGACCTGCTTTAATAAATGGAACTATGAGTTCTCTTCTCTACGATACAATCATTAAGGGGCAGTTCCTGCTATCTGTTTGTGACCTAAAGTTAAAACCATCCTGGGTTCTCCACAGAGAGACAATGATCAAAAACACACTAGTTATTCCATAGAGCTGTTTTGGAAAAACTTATTGCACCTTTTCAAACAGGACCATGTTGGTTTGGACTCTACCCAAGAATGAAAAGCTTAATTATGAAACTGCATTTTTTTTGCTTACAATTGTTGCCTCTGACTAATAAATTCATTGGATTTTCCAAAAACCTTAAGTGTGATAAAACAAAAATAAGAACCTTTTCTCATCTATGTATATAAGCCACCTAGTAAGCTGTTCAGAGGTAATGAAGTTAGTTTAGTCAGGTTCCAAGGTTTGTAAAATCATTCCTTGCTCCTTAATTTGTCAAGTGCCCTGGGGTAAAATTATATCTCTAGAATGCCTTTAGGCTGATTCCTGAGTAAATGACAAAACGCTCTACAGTTGTGTAAAATGTTGTTTGATCCCCACAGATTTGATCTGTTTTTACTTTTTTTATGTCTTACACCTAAATAGGAAAGATAATTAAACAAATTGGAATTTCAGACAAAATCTACCCTAACCAATATGACTATGTAAAAAACATATCCCCTCCCCCTTGTTGTATCATGAAGGAAGTGTGATTAATCTGAGTTTTTTGGCAGGCTAGTTAGTAGGACAAATATCTCAGTAATGTGATGTAATAGTGATAATATCTGGCAGACGATATAAAGCAGCCCGAAGATCTGTGAAGCAGCACAATCTAAACTACATGTATCAAAAAGAGAAACTGTCACTGATATTTATTAGGATAGAAACAGTTATTAGACCTTTTCAAGGCCTTTGGCCTCTAGCAAACCTAGAGTCAAGGCAGAAAAGACACGAGAACATCTAAAGCCATGCAAGCTGAAGTAAACTTCCATAAGCCAAAAAAAAGAGGAAGACTGGCCAAAACTGCAAATAACTATAGACAGAAAAAAAGAGCAAATTAAGCCATCTTCACTCTCCTGGAAAAATGAACAACAAAAATACATTAATGATCCTTAGACTCTAAAGAAATTATTCTATAGACTGAAAAGAACAAACTAGAAGTATTTTTGAAAATGGAGCATCCTAATTCTTTGTGTATAAACCCAATGTAGTTTAGTAAAGAAAGATAACACCAGCAGACAGACACAGTGGTGGCAGTGTGATGATCTGGGATGGCCATACTGCTTCAGGACTGAATGAAAACATGAAAATCAGGCTATTCTGAGGAAGAAAGTCAAGATATTGGTTCATGACTTTATGATCAGCCACCTACTTTATGTAACAGGGCAATGATCTAAGGTGCATTAAAATTCAACCTCTGAATTATGCAAAAAACAAACAAATAGTTAACGATTTAAATTAGTTTAGTTAAAGCTCAGACTTAAATACAACTGAGATGTGGAATTACTTTAACAGACCGGATCAAGCTCCAATTTTGCAAAGAGAAGTGGGTCTAAATTTCTCCACAGAGATGTAAAGGACTTATGTTGCTGACAAAGGCGGCACAATCAGTTATTCGATTTAGGAGAAAATTTGGATGGGGTTTTCCATTCTTCATTCCGAATAATATTTCTTGTATTTTTTCAAGTTATCTTTGCATCATATAGGTTTTTAAATGTCCTGACACAATTAACTGTGATAAAAATGTGGGGAAACATTACCGGTTTTATATTTAATGTGTCTAACAATACAAATGTTGGGAGAAGTGCATACTTTGGTCTGTTCTCCCACAGTTCTGTCAGCGGACTGCAGCGCTGGCAGCGACCTGAGCATGTCTCCGGAGGAGATAGTCCCCATGCGAAGGTCCAGTTCACGGGAACATGACCGCCGGAGTGGGGGGACATGCTTCCTCCTTGCTGCTAGTGACTATACGTGCCCTGCTGATGGAGGGATGAGAAAAGCAGGTAACTGCATGTGTAAGTGCCTTTTTTTATAATTCGATAAACTAGAATAAGTGCCTTGACATTAAATTGTTTTTTTAAGTGTGATCTATTTGTTAACCTCTATATTTCTGGATTAAGTATCTTTTTCTTGTATAGTCCTTTTTTTCTTAGATTCAGGCAGTTAAGCACCAAGTTGAGCTTCTATGAAGAATTGCCAAATTTGGATCAAAATTTGATAAACACACAAAATAGTGATTTAAGATCTGATAAACCCCCACATATAAAATTCTACATTAGGCTGAATTAGATAGAATTGGTTTCATAAGTGAAACTGTGTTCTTATCAAGTCAGCTGACATGATATAAGATATAATTTTTAGGGGTTGCATTACAACAGAAATATATATCGTAACACTTTTAATTAAAGGCTAATCTTTATCAACATTTCCCCTAATGTTTAAACAAAGCTTTAGATATGTAGAACATTAATGCCAAAGAACAGATTTCTTTACATTTCTTTAAGTCCAATTTATAACTTTAAATATGCAATCAAACTTATAAAGTCAGATTCAAGAAGATCAATTCCAATTTTAGTGCAATCTCTTCACAATGCCAATAGGTAAAAAATAATATATCTAAGGAAGACAATTGCATTGAGTAACTGGCTTTGCAGCCATCCCTCAAAGGAATGTTTGAAATCCCTTCTAGAAATTAGTTTTGCCTACAGGCTCTGAAGATTGTATGTAGATCCAATCTAAGGTGTTTTATTGTTTGTTTGTTTTTTATAAAAAAAGATACATAAATTCAAAAAAATACCAAAATAAGTCCAAATCAGAGCTTTTCTTCTGGCTGCTTGACTTGGATTTCTGATATATTTTGTTTATTTTTGTCTGTAAATCAGCAGCAACGTTAAATATAGATGGGGTAAAGTAAAGAGGGGGCCTTAAAATAAAGACCTTAGTAAGTATTCTCATCAGCTGATACATGTCCTTAGTGACAGGTACACCAACATCCCTGGAACGGGGAAGGATCTTTGTTCAGCACTAGTCAGCACAGGTAAAGTAACTTCTGTGTCTGCTGGAAGCAGTAGAATACATTACTAAATTCTTTTTTGCAATTCTGAGAATCAAATGTTCTCTGCAGCTGACTCAGAACTGTTGCTTGCTGCACATGCACAATTTATTCATGTTTTCTTGTTGCTTGGAAACATTTGAATAAATTTGGACCAATGTTTTTTTTTTGGGCTGTTGCCACATTCATCGCCCATTAACAGCAGGGAGATAAATTGCCAAGTATCATCTGTCTCCTAGGCGATGATACACCCAAAGTCAGTTTGATGATAGGCTTGTTTGTTTTAGTTTCATATATTTGATTGATATATCAACCAATAAAAATTATTAAATTCCAGTAATAGTTCTAAAAGACAAATTTCATCCACAGCCATGATAGACATTTTGAAAGGTGGTTAAATTTGAATAATAGCACCAATAGAAGTAGAAAAAGAAACACTCAAAATATTCAGATTAATGAAACTAAGACCCACAGATCACTGCAGATTGTCTTTCTACCTACAGTGAATATAAACAGTCTGTAAACTGAATTACGATAGCAGGTTTTTATTTAAAAAACGTTTACTTAATACGTATCTTCTGAATGTCTTGCTACCTTTACTATAATATATATCTACTTTTAAACTAGGATAAAACATTATTTAAAGTGTATACAAAATAAATAAACAAAGCTGCAATTTTGTAATTGCAAAAAGGTTTAATCTGTAAATTGATACTTTGCTAAACCAGTCGATTGTAAGTCATCCAGGATACGAGACTCCTAAGTCCTTGAACAGAAGGCAGCTCTACATATAACTTGAATGTCTTTATGCAAAAGGCTTCCTAATTCCAGAACAGGGTTAAATTGGCATAGTCAGGTTATATAACATTTTTTTCTTTAATTGACCAGTAGCACATTTCCAAAACATTGCTTGTTTTTTGCTCAGTTTGTTAGTAAATAAAGACCTTTGTCTATATTTAGACTAAACATTGAATGACTTTACGTACCATATTATGCATGTGGCTAATGGGTAAACAAGGAAGTAATGTGGCTAAGGCAGTTAGCTCCTGCCAGTGGAGATGTGAAAATAATGAAGACAAGATGCAGTGTGGAGAAAAAAAAAAAGATAGTAAAAGATTCTAAGAGGGATAAGACTCTTCAAGCGGGCACGGCAGTGGTTCAAAGGTTAAGTGTGCGACTCATGGACAGAGGCTTTGGTCCTTAATGCAGCCGTCCCAGGTTTTAGTCCCGGCATTCTGATGTTTGCTGCATGTCTTCGCCCTCTCTCTTATCCCATTTACTGCCTGTTTTCTGTCAGTAACAATAATTAGGCCATTACACTCTAAAAAAAAAAAAAAGACTCAACTTTCACCATACCCAGCTGTCGTCTTACCTCAAGGCTTTGCAGGATGGTTGAGATTTATTAAATAGCTGCGTCATTTGCCTTTCTGATAGTCTACTGTCAGCAGATAGTGAACATGACTGTTTTTGCACATCGTGCCTGGTGCATATATTCTATTTAGGGTTAAAAAGAAATATCAAAACACCATCAGGACAGACGCTTGTTGTATATAACCCTATTTTATCAGCACCAAATAATTTCTGGTCCTTCTTGAACGGGCATAAAACATGATTATGCACCTTTAAACGTGTAAGGCTTATTAACTGGAGTTAAGGTCCCTAATCGGGCTGTTAAAGCTTTAGTTTATAATGTGGGAAAGATAGTAAGATTTGAAAGTGGCCCTCACCCTCCTGCCTCCATTGAAAGCCGTGTCCTCCCACATAAACTTTTTTTAAACCTTACTTGGTGTTCTCTTGTCCTGGATGACTGACTCTTCAAAGGTTCAAATCAAACAAAGAGCTGATTGCAAAGAGAAGTGATTCACAATCAGCTAATGCTGGTTGAGTAAACAGGCTTTATAAGAATAAAAATTTACCTTCAATCAAATGTTTCACTGCTTCGGGTAAACAACAAATATTGCAGAATATATCACAAAACAACACTTTGCTTTAAAAGCAACAGTTTATTTCTTCACTGACTGACTTTATTTCTGAACAAACATTTCCTTTTTTATGTCACTTTTACTTAGAGAAATTCTTGCTAACTGCTTAACCTTAAAGAGAATTTTAGGGGAACATTTTAATGCTTTTTGGAGCTCTATAAATTACTTTAACTGATACCAATATGCCTTTCAACAATTTGGTGTAAACGGAGCGGATTATCTCATTGATTCAAAACATTGGAGGAGGCGGTGACAGAACCTTTTTGCTCAGGACATGACAGGCTAATCAAAGAGGAGAAATAGAGGAGAAATACTTTAAACCTAAAACAGCAGCAAAGAGGCAAACGCTTCAGATTTTTGGAAACAGGTCCCATAGCCTCCTGAATCAGAAGTTAAAGCTTTTGACCATAATGGCCATCATTGAATTTGCAAACCTAGGATACCATCCTTGCTTTGTAGTACAAGGGTTTCAACATCATCTTCTGGGATTAATCATTTGTAGATGAATTGTTCACAGGAAACACACCATCACCCCAATCTTTCTGATTAAATAGTTACAAAGTAGCTTTAGGACAAGAAAAGACTCAGATTAATTTCCAACTGTTATGCCTTTATAAAGAAATTAATCAAAATTCCTGCAAAGCATTGTCAGAAGATTGAGGAAGGATGCACAAACTACATGACCCAAGCCATGCCGTGCTGTGTTTAAGGACAATACTACTAAATATCAATAAAGTCTAAGAAAACTTCTAAATGTAATGAAATCAAACCAAATCTCATTCTGATTATTTCAGATTTCAAGATCATATTAATTTAAACTGAACTCAAATAGGAAAAGAGAGTGAGGGGGAAAAAAAGCTTTATGGTATTTTTACTGTTTATACTGATAAAATTAAGATTTCATCACCTTGGCAACAGGTTGTTCTCCCTGTTGCCACCACACCGACACTCATACATTAAATATCCGCCCCAATCGGTGCTGCTTGGTGCTCCATGTTGTCCTTTATTCCACTCACTCAGCTGTTTTTAAATGGCTGCGCTTTAGTTTAAAGCCTTCTCATGCGTGAAAACCAATCTAAGTGTTTGCACTATGATAATAAAGCAACCTTAGCATTAGTTGCTCCTCCTGAGAACCAGTGCCAGCTGATTGGCCTACTGCATTAATGACCTAGCTGCTTCCGCCTGCTTGTTTACTTTGCATTGAATGCGGATTTGCCAGCTCGCATCACCTTCAAGTGTAAGCCGGTGTAAAGTATAAATCTCCACATAAAAAGGGATTATATTGGGAATCATCATCACCATCAGTATGTGCCACCACCATTCATGCATATGCTGTAATATAGGATAAAGACTACATTAATATGAAAAAGGTTTGTGCTCATTTAAAATATCTGTTTGTACAGGAGCTGCATCTCTAAGCACACCTTAATATTTTTCACATTTTGACCACAAACTTCAGTGTATTTAATCAGATATTCAACTGGGTTTTTTGAAAAGACAAAAAGTATTCATATTTTTTTAAATGTAAAGAAAGAAAGCATTTTCCAAATTATTTTGTTTAGAAACTCTAATCTGAAAATTGCAGCGTGTTTTTTTTTTCAGTTCCCTTTACCCTATTGCTCCTAAATACATTTCTAAACCCCTGATTTATAAATAGAGACCACCTGTGCATTATAATCTCAATTCTACCATCTGTTTACATACTGAAAATGTGCATCCCCTCAGACACATCACACATGCTGTGAAAATATGGCAGTGACAGCATCATAACGTGGGAAATATTTACGTTTTTACTTGCAAGAGACAGGGAAGATTGTTGGAGAAAAAAAAGGAGACGTGTATAGTTAAATACAAAACAGGTTTAACAGACAAAAACTGTTAAACCTGATTTATCTGTGCAAATTCTTCCCATTGAAAAGGTGCAGCAGCTGTATATTCAGCTGTTCCATCAGGTGTGGGAGTGGCTATCAGTTCTATTAGT